AGGGGTTTAGGGTTCAGGGTTTAGGGGTTTAGAGTTTAGGGTTTAGGGTTTAGGGTCTAGGGTTTAGGGTTTAGGGTTCAGGGTGCAGGGTTTAGGGTTTAGGGCCTGTAGGGTTCAGGGTTTAGGCTGCGCAAGACCTGGATTCCTTCAGCAAACCGCTTCATAAACCTATCAGCCCTGGAATTTCAACATTCCTAGCACAAAATAGCTATAAACCCTACTGGGCCCTACTGGTAGACACAAGCCTGTAGAAAAACGACTGACCATATACAGGCTGGGGTTTAGGGTAGGACCCTAAACCCTAAAATCCTAAAACCCTGAAGCCTGAGAACGAACACTTTTGGATCATTATCTCCGTTTGGAAGAAGAAGGAGTCAAGCCAAATCATGCCCAAAACCATCAACTTTACGAGAGCAAGGGCAAGAATCCAGTGCGAGCGATGGCACTGTCCCAGAACCCCTTCGTTTACAGCCAATGCTAAGATGAGGATGATGAGGAAAGTGCCTACACACTCACTCGTGTCCGCCCCTAAACCCTAAACCCTGAACCCTAAACCCCAAACCCTAACACTGTGTTGCAGGTGTCATTTCGCATTGCCCGGCTCGTAAGCCAGAGTCTGTTGCTGGTGCTTCTGGTGATGGTTTAGGGTTTGGGTTTAGGTTTTAGGGCTTTGGGTTAAGGGTTTACGGTTTAGGGTTTAGGGGTGGTGGTTGTACTGGTAGTTGCTGACATAAAGTTTGTGATACTCAGAACTCTGAACAATGTCATCCCAGGTTCAGACCTAGAACACACAGACAACCCTGCATTTGTGCCATAGGTGTCTGCACATTGCTCCTCGAGCAACGCCTTCGATGGAAATGCCTCTAGTCGGCATTTGTGGTGATTTCGTGCGTGCCGAAGAAGATGTTGTTAGAACGCAAGTACAAGTGTAGTCTGCAACATCTCACAATCATGAGTGCGCAAGCAAGGGTACAACCGCGGTAGAAGCAGCAGTTCTCAACGGCGGTTTTGTTTCTGTACCACGTATTCTCATTCATGCCTGCGTGTGTATCTGTGTGCGTGTATGTATGTATGTATGCATGCACGCTTGCATGCATGTATTTATGTGTGTACGTATGCATGCATGCATGCATGTATGTATATATATATATAATATGTATATATATATATACATGTAGATATATACAAGAACATGTACACATATATATACATATATATATATATATATGTATGTATACAGTATACAGATACAAATTTTCCTGTTGATCTTTGTATGCATGTATTTCGACATCGCCGTCTGCAAAGTTATGTTGGTAGCACTTGCAGTTCCGAGCGTTGAGCAGATTGCTAGTGTATGTCGCTTGTTCCTCCCCGATGTGACAGTAGAGACAAAACACCAATTTATAATCAAAAGACGTTCGAGACTTTATTAGGGTCGGCAGAGTGGCCTTTAAAGTTAGGTGGAAGTGTCGAAATTAAGCCATGGTGGCAAAACAATCATTGGCAGCTGTTTCGTTTTTTTCGTGGCAAACAACAAGAACAGGCAAATGTTAGCAATGTTCGTCACACGAGTAACAGTCGTGGCAATGGACGTCTTGCCTTGGACGTACATGAGGATGAGCCATACTAATTTCGAGCCTTTACATTGACAGCTGGTGGTTTTTGTTGCTGGACTGTTCAGGTTAGAGCGTTCGAGGTAGTTTTGGGCACGTGCCCGACACGGTGTCCATGGTTTTGGAAGGAGTGCCTAGGCCTAGGACACGGCATCATAATAGTATAGGGGCCTTAGTAATGACCTTTGCTATTATTTTTGTTTTGGGGGGGGGGCTTTCTCATTATACCTACACTACAATGGGTGTTTGAATGATTAAGGCCCCTCTCGTGAGACCTCGAACCAGCTGAGGGATGACTTTCATGATTGTATACCTACTGTGGGAGGCCACCTAGGCCCAACGCAGCCACAGCACCTTCAGACAAACCCTAAATTCTTCTAGTTCCAACTAAACTCCCTAAACCCTAAACCCTAAATTCTTCTAGTTCCAACTAAACTCCCTAAACCCTAAACCCTAAAATTCTTCTAGTTCCAACTAAACTGTCAGCAGAAAACTCGACTCACAAGAGCTGAGAAAGCCTGACAACCCCGAGCCCCAAGCCGAAAACAAGCATTAGGGTTTAGGGTTTAGGGTCCAAAGCCGAAAACACCCATGTTTCGGGCTTATAGTTTATAGTTTAGAGAAGTGCCCAGGTATCTGCGCGACCCTCAGCTCGAGGTGTCCTTTGCATGGTTCTGTTATGGCTCATGGAGGTTGGCAGGAATCTTCCTGTGGTTTGCAGCGTTGTTTTGGAGTACTTGTCCCGGCCTATGTTAGCTGGTGCTATGGGGCTTGATTTGCGACCTTGGGCACTTACTTCTGACTAATGACAGTTTCGGTATCGTCCTATTGCGGGACACAGGGCCCAGTGTTGATGAAAGTTAGCACTACGTGGGCACGCCACGACTGTCAGTTTCCGGTCATGTCCGAACCGATTGTCGCGAGAAGCGAGCATGTTGGGCTGGGTACTCAATGCGTCGGGCCTTTTATGATCCCCGAGGCAAACCTGTCCACTGACGGCCCTGACGAATATAGGGCCTCCTAGGGGCTTGCATATTTCACAGTTTCCCTATTAAATTATTAATACCCGCCCCCCCCCNNCCCCCCCCCCCCCCCCCCCCCATGTCACGCCCGTCTTCGAAACCCTTACAGGAACCCTACGTATAGACAATAGGTCCCTATTGAAACATGAACAACGCCTAGCCGCAAGTAGGTACCTAGGGGGTTAGGGAACCCTACAAAAACAGCCCTTCTAGTCTCTAGTTGTAGTAGCCCTCACCCGTCTCAGCTTCTTCAAGGTGGACTTCTTCCGGACAGATGACTTCCACCTCGATCTACCTGTCCATGGAGGCCACTTATGGCTTAGGCTAAGGGTTTGGTAGCTGATGTAGCATACTTCAGAGGTTTGGGAAAAATCAGGGATAAACCAACAAATGACCCTTTGCAGATCTGAAAGTTCAAACTTGTGGGTGGTTATGAGTTGTGCAACTAAGAAGCACAACAATGCAAGCTACAAGCTGCATAGTGAAAGTTCCGGGAGTGTGCTATACACTGCGATGCTGTATTCCGTGTCCCTACAAGAGTATGTGACTTCTCTAAGCAACACATGGGTATGGCTAGTTCGCTACATCAGGGTTGTTTCGGGTGTCCTTTTCATAAGAGC